AAAAAAAAAACTTAATGCAGATTTAAATTTTCACTTTTTTCACCTAAAAAAGTTAAAAACAACTAGCCACACTAGCAGCCTCGGCGGGGTGTATGTGTGATATTTGCCTACTAACAGCTGTGAAGTGTTTTTGGTAACCCTGGTGTGACTGAGGATGGTTTGGGTTGGAAAAGCATAAAAGAAGCGAAGCGAGCATAAAAGAAGGTAAAGTATGGCTTTCCTTGCTATGCATGTCATTCTAATATTTGCATGTATTTTTTTTAATGCTCTTTTTGTTGACTAGATCACTAGATCCTGATAATATTCTTGAATTTCTTTTATTGTTTCAAGATGGCTGACCAGACCAGAAAAGTCACAGTTTTACAATCATCTCCTGAAGAAGATGACTTGCCCCTCCCCCCACCTCCCCCTGTACCACCTAGACCTCTCAACTATGAAGGGCCTTCATCGTTAAGTAGCCTTCCCCTGCCTCCACCTAAAGAAACCTTCTCCACATTCTACCAGCAACGGCAGAAAAATGAGCTGAAGAGGCTCTTTAAACACATCCACCCAGACTTACGGGCAAGTCTTGATGACGCAGTGGATGATGAGATCATGAAGGCAGTGCAGTCAGAAAACACTGAGGCAGCAGATGCAGATTATCAGGGGGAAGTGCAATCCATGAGGTGGATCTTTGAGAACTGGACTCTGGACAGTATTGGAGATCCTCATTCAACCAAAAAGCTGATGGATAATGAGGAGTTAAAGGGTGGAGATGTAAGAAGCACCTCCACGATGTTTGAACATATTGACAGCACCCAACTACAGTCTGCCAAAAGGCAAATTTCTGTCAGGGGGGATGTGAGAACATCAATGTGGTTGTTTGAGACCCAGCCCTTGGATTCCTTAAATAGATCCGTAAATGAAGAGGGTGAACTAGTTGAGGCAGTGCTGAAAGAACCTGTACAGCCTGGGGATGTAAGAGGGACTCGTCTGCTTTTTGAGTCTAAAGCACTGAGTGACTTGGGGCGCTGCAACTCTATTGAAGATTATAGTTTCCTGAAACTGAGGTCTGAGCTTCAGGAGCTGAAAGGTGATGTCCAAAAGACCGTGAAACTGTTTCAGGCAGAACCTTGCTGTGCTATCAGAGACAACAGTGGCAATATGCATGAGATTAAATCCATCTGCAGGGAGGAGATCGACAGCAGTGGTGTTTGCACTGCCCGCTGGCTTTTTGAAACCCAGCCTTTGGACCTGATCAGTAAGGGAACTGATGTCGTGAAAATAATTCGGGGCATATCGCTAGAGGAGGGTCAACGAGGAGGTGTTGACCGGAAGAGGTGGATGTTTGAAACTGAGTCATTTGACAGAATACCTGAGGTTGTAGGAGAGAACACATTTGAAGGAGCCATAGCTGAGTGCACAGGAGAGGTTGATGTCATCAACAAGAAGAAATTCTTTGAAATGAAACCACTGGCAGCAGGAAACATGGCAGAAAAGTCTTTGGAAAAGGGAGACGTAATTGGGGGAGATGTCAAGACCTCCCTTTGGCTGTTTGAAACGCAGCCCATGGAGACGCTTAGTGATAGCTATGAAGTCGGGAGCCTGAAGAAAATTACCCTTTCACCTGAAGAACAAGGTGAAGTAAAAGACAAAAAACAGTTATTTGAAAGCTGCAGCATTCAAAAGAGCACTTCATTAAAAGAACAAGTGATTGAAAAAGGTGACGTGAAGGGATTCAAAGAACTTTTTGAAAAAATTCCTTTGAGCAAAATCGCTCCTTCTGGGGAGGAGATTACCGAGAACGAAGAGTCTATTGCAGTTGGAAATGTAAAAGGTAACAGAGAAATATTTGAAACAACTCCATTATATGCAATAAAAGACAGCTCTGGAAACCTTCATAAGGTTACAACAGTCAGCCGAGAGGAATTCACTCAAGGGAAAGTCAAAAACTATAAGTGGATGTTTGAGACGAAGCCGTTAGACCAACTGGTAGAAGGAAAAGCAAATGTGGAGGTAATCAAAGGCATCACAAGACAGGAAGACAACACAGGTGATGTCAAAACGGCAAAGTGGCTTTTTGAAACACAGACAATTGATGGGATTCATTCAAAGTTCAATCAGACAAAGCAAAACTCTTCTTTGGAGGAGGAACCACATAAAGGTGACGTGAAGACCTGTAAATGGTTGTTTGAAACACAGCCAATGGACATTTTGTATGACAAATCCGAAAAAACAAAAGATAAAGAAGCCATTGAAGATACCAATGTCAAGTCCATTACATGGCTTTTTGAGTCACAGCCTCTAGATAGCATCAAAGATGGGGAAAAGTACAATTTGAAGCTATGCAGCACCATACGAGATTCAGTCCAATCAGAGGTTGGTGTTCAAACTGTGAAACATCTTTTTGAAACAGAGGCCTTGGACAGAATAAGAAAGGATACAAATTCAGAACAAAATCTGAGATGTGTCAGCCAAGTGAACTTTCAGTCAGGGGAAGTTTCGCGAGTCAAAGAACTCTTTGAATCCCAGTCTCTTGACGAAATAGGATCAGAAATCGTGGCAGCATCTGATCAGCAGAACCAAGGCGAACAAATCGAGAAAGGTTCTGTAAATAAATTTACTTGGATGTTTGAGAACTGCCCCATGAGCCAGATCAACAAGGACAACAATGACACAAATACGCCAAGGGTTGAGAGTATTGAAAGTGGTGATGTCCAGAAGAAAAAGTTTATATTTGAAACATCGTCACTGGATAAAATTCACGATGAACCCGTTGAGCAGAATTGGGTCAATGTGGAGCAGCCTGTGAGCAATATAGACGTGAAGTCAAGCACTATGATGTTTGAGTCCCTGCCACTGTATGCCATCAGAGACAAAGAGGGCCAGTTTCATGAAGTTACAACTCTAAAAAAGGAAGAGGTAATGAGTGGTGACGTAAGAGGAGCAAGGTGGATGTTTGAGACAAAACCACTCGATGCCATCAAGGCGGAGAATGAAGTTTATGTCATACGAGCTGTCACCCAGGAGGACGTCAAGAAAGGAGACGTTAAATCAGCCAGGTGGAAATTTGAGACACAACCTCTTGACTCTCTTACGAGTCGAGATGAGCTCTCAGTCAGGGTGACTGAAGACTTCGGAAGCAGTAACGTGCAGCTGAATAAACAGTTATTTGAATCTGAGCAGCAGTGCAAGAAGTTTGTGAGAATGGTTAGTGTCACTGATGTGCAGCGTGGCGATGTCAGGACCTCCACCTGGCTCTTTGAGAATCAAACAATTGACAGCCTGAAAGGGGAGCCTGAGGAGCAGGGTCCAGTAAAAGCAGTCCACAGGGAAGATAGCCAGAAGGGAGATGTGAAACGCTGCACCTGGCTCTTTGAATCGCAGCCCCTGGACAAAATTAAGGAGCCAGAAGAAACCTCAGTGCAAAGTGCTAAAGATATCCCAAAAGCTGATGTGAAGTGCACCACCTGGCTCTTTGAGACCACTCCACTAGACAAAATCACCGCCAACAGTTTGGCTGATACCCTTTCATATTTGAATGAAAATGCTTTTGTTCACTCAAGCGGCATCATAATAGAGGCAGATGGCAGCAGAAATGTTAACATGGCAAAATATATGTTTGAAAACAAAGAAGGGGTGCAGATTGAGAAAGAGGATGTTGTTGAGGGTAACATCAGGAACATCATGCTACAGCTCTTGGTCAGACCGACTCTCAAACCACAAGTAACTCTTCTGAGAGAAACTGAAAAAGGTAAAGTTAACATAACAGTAGTCGAGCTTCCAGTCTCCCAGGCGACCGGCACAGTCAACATCGAACACGATCAAAGACTACAAAACATTGCCCAGGTAATTGATGACTTGCTCATTCCACAAAATAATCTGAAAAAGGGAATCATAATGCAAGAGACTGCAGCGGGACAAGCAGAGATGTCCGTTTATTCACTCATCTGCAATTACGAAATCAAAACCGAGAGTCTGGTTACAGAGAGGGGAGATGTTAAGTCTACAATTGGAAATTTGTTAGCTACTGCCAGTTGTCAGAGGATAGCAGCGTCGTGCAGAGTGGACGAAACAGAGAAGGGAAATGTGAATTTGTACAAAAGCTGCATTGAAAAGGGAGATCTGCATTACCTCAAAAGTCTTCACACCGAGGCATCTGAAGACGAAGCTGATCAGAGCCTTCTGACTAAGGAACAGATTGAAACAGTTCAGGGGGGTGTGAGGGAAGCAAAGAGAAGCCTCTATCAGCAAAAAGAACAGGCAGAACGATCAATTTCTGATGTTTTACCAGGGGACGTAAAGAACACCAAAAAGGTTTTTTCATCAGAGTGCTCTGTCAGTGTTGACAGCTGTGTACCAAAGGAGGAAATTGTCCCTGGAGATGTCAAGGCAACAATGCAATCATTAGAACGTGCAAAGCAACAGAGCATGTGTGTGGAGCGGGAGGTCATTACACCTGGAACTATTTATGACATGGACCTGTCAGCTCAAGGTCCTGAAAGCGAAGGAAACCAAGCACAAAAAGAAGTCATTATATCTGGAGACGTAAAAGCAGCTAAAAGGTCTCTTGAAATGGCAAAGCAGCAAAGCATGCAAGTAGAGCGGGAAGTCATCATTCCTGGAAAAATATACAACCTGAATATGTCCGCACAAGAGGAAAGCTCATCAACAGTGGCACAATCAACATGTTCGTCCTCCTCAAGATGCCAGCAAATCAGGACTTCTCCGAAGGTCAGTGATACAGAGAAAGCTCAGGAAAGCCATATCTCCTTTGAGGCTTGTCAACAGAGTGCAGCTATAGACAGTAATAGTGCCCCAGAATCACTGCCACCTTTTGTAAGTTGCGAGTTTAATAGTCAGACAACTAAAGATGAGACAGAACAAGTTATCAGAGGAGATGTGAAAGCAGCTATTAGAGCTCTGCAGAGTGCAGCGACAGAGCAGAAGCTCCTAGATAAGGAAAATATTATAAGCGGTAATGTGCAGTTGGCTCTCAAATCTCTTGAGAAGTCTAGCGTAAATGTATCCAAAGGAGACTATAAAGCTGCCATGATATACAGAAATTCAGGCAGGGCTTGTTCAGAGAGGAGCAAGACTGTTCACAAGCAGTGTGTTGTGGTGCCTGTGCCTCGATCTGACGCAAAATTATCTCCTTCAATTTCAGTAACCTGTGAAGGACAACCATCTATTACAACACAGAATTCAGCTCCCAACCCTGTAGCAAACGGAACCTCTAAATCACCCCGCTCTGAAAGGCCAAGTCCACCTCCACTGCCTCAAAAGACTGAGAAACCACAGGAGCAGAAGCCAGCTTTACCACCAAAGCCACAATGGATAAAATCTGTAGTTGTGGAAGAACCAAATACATCACCTAACAAAGTTTCCTGTCCTGTTAAAGAAAATACAAAAAGTGTAGTAATTCGTCCAAAACAAAGCCAGTTGTTTTGCTCTGTGGGTAGCCAAGAAACTACAACACATGGAAATCTCAGTAAACAATGCTCACATGAAACATACCAACAACAAAAATGTGTTAGTGAAGAAATGCAAGTCTCAAATCAAGCAAATGTATATCTGCCAATCAAGCCAAAGGCTCAGGAAAGCAGCAAGAAACAGGAAGCAGCACAACTCACAGAGAGGAAATCAGACTGCAAAATGACCGTGTCAAACAGCAGTGAAGTGAAAACAGAGAAAAATGTGAAACAGAAAATCAATGCAGCTGAGGAGATACAGATACGTATGAGGGGTTATGAAGATGGTGAGCATGAAATCAACTCAAGCTTGAAGGCAGCACTAAATAACTTTGAAGGAAAGGACAGAGACACTTCCAAGAAGGCAGCAATCACAGATGATAACGGTAGAGGTCATAAAAAGACAGAAAAAACTTCTGTCCAAGAATACAAATCAAATCTCAAACCTCAAGAAAAACAGCACGAGCCCGGACTGCAGACATCAGTCACTACAGGCCATGTGCAGGAAAAAAACCCGGACCAAAAGCAACCAACATTTGAGGATAAAGTTGTTTTAAGAGAGAAGAAGGCAAGAGAGACAGAGGATGAAAGACGACAAAGGCTCTCTGTACACATGGAAGACATCGTAAAAGGAAATGTAAAGGCAGCCATGGAAATCTTTGAAAACTTTAGGAAAAGAGAGGAACTCAAGGGGATCCTGTCTCAAGTGCAAGAAATCGAGGGAGAGGCCAGCAGTGTAGATGACACTTCACTGAATACATTATACCAGAATGTCCCTACTTGGATGGGTACATCAAGGAGAAACGCTAAGCAAAGTAAAATAGAGGGAAAGAAAGTTGAAGCAGAAACCCAGGATGATGATCTGGAAAGCATCTCCTCAGTTGAGACGGCATTTGAAGATCTGGAAAAAGCAAGCAAGGAAATAATGAACCTGAAGGAACAGACTTTAGCAAAGCTGCTTGAAATCGAAGAGACGATTAAAAAGGCTCTGTACTCCGTGTCTAATCTGAAATCTGAGGCCGACATTGCAGGGTTGTCGGGGCTGTTCGATGAGTCTTTGAAATCTGAGCAAAACTTTCAACCTGCCAACAACATCAGGAAGATAAGCATTGTTTCAAGCAAGGCCAAATCAGGTCAGACAAAAGAGACAAGCGATGTAAATCTCCAGACAGATTTGGATTCAAGTCTTTCCAAAGAGGAAGTGTCCAGAAAAGGGCACAATAAGCCCCTTATTAGACAGTCTTCCTCTCAGTCTTCACCATCGTTCATCTCCATTCACTCAGCTGCCAGAAAACCAAGTGATCAACCAAAGCCAACCATGTCAACATTTAAACCAAAAACTAATAGCTGCTCTGACAGTTGTCAAAATGTAAAGAGCGATCTGGAGTCCGCAGCTGCCAAGTCTTCAAAAAATGGCCCACAGCGCAAGGTCAGTGTTCTTGAAGTGCAAACCGCAGAGCAACCCGCAGGAATAATTGGCACGAAGACTGTCAGTGAAACTTATGAAGAGAGCGACAGCTTTGGCAATGTATTTGTTTCCTCCAGGACTTCAACATTCGTCACCAAACAGTCTGACAGTAAAACATCGGCCCTGTTTGAAATTAGTCCAACCAGATACGAAGTCGTGACATCCCCACTGATGCGAAGATCCGGACGCTTTTTTGAAGATAAAGTGTCGAGGAGCACCAAGGACGACGGGACGGTATTTGTAACATTCGGCCCACCAAAGGAAACGCACTGAACGAGCCACTTATTAGTGCGTTCCACGGTCCTTTAACTTTAGGAAAGCAGCTTTATTTACGTGTGTTTTCATCCCATTTTTGTTTTTTTTAGTGAAACTGTTTTGTTAGTCTTTAAACTGAACTCATGAAATCATGAAAATGTTACCTTTAAAAACTTTTTGTCTTATAGATTTTATACTGTAACCACATGATAAAGTGTTAGGATCTTTTAACAAGGCTAAACACAAAGTTAGCACTGTTTATTCTTCTGTTTTAAACAACTGTCAAATAAATGACAGGTTAGAAGATGTGACTGTTATCTGTGATTTTTCTTTATTCTCATTCCTTGAATTATAAATATAACAAATGACCACAGAGCAGCCATATCATTATCACCAACCACTCATGCTACTTTTCAGCATACTATAAGTAGATTAGCTCACACACAGAATTTACAATAACTCAATTCTGTGTATATCGACTTTGCTTGGCCCGAAATCAAAGTGATGATAATAAAATGTAGAATCTCTAAAGTTAAATGTCCCTGCTGATTTGGGATCTTGTCTTGGTGGAGATGCCAGGCAAAATGCAATTCAGTAATGACAATTTTTTTTAAAGGGGTAAAAAGAAAATCAAGCAAAAACTTAAATTGATCCAAAATCTTTGTGCAGCTGAGACATGGCTTGATTATTCTACAACTCTTAATTTGTTGTTTAAATATTTTGCCCAGCAAAATTGTCACTTAACTGTATATAAACAGAGATGAAATGGCGCAGCCACGTCGCCTTGCTGCCATTTTTTTTAACAGAGATTACGGCAATGGAAGATGTTCCCGTGGCTCCCAAAGCCCAGTAACTTGTAAACCACAAATATAAAATTGACTCCTTTTTAAAAATCCAGTGGTATTTAGTTTGAATGAATATCCAATCTCTAGGCTAATATATGAAACAGCAGTACATTGGTGCAAAACCAATAATTCACACAATACTCCTAAGTTACTTAAAAAAATTCTACAAAGAGTATTTCTTCACCAAATTACTTCATAAATTGCTTTTTAAAGGAAACCTGGAGTCAGATGTTGCACAGCTGTAATGATGATGAGATTTCACACCTCCGCTATACTTTTTAAAATGTCAGTTTCTGTTTTGGTCACGTTTTCTCTACTTTTGCCTGCAGCTATCCCCCAGACCTTCATTTCAAAATACCTCTCTTTCTTCTCCCGTTGTTAGTTAGTTTGAAAATACAGGATTTTGCAAACATCAAACACACCTGAAAGCCTCACTGTTGCTGTTTTTGCCTAAAGTTGAATACCTCATAAATGTGACATTATCTAGTTATGTAACTGCTAAATACCAGGAATCAAACTTGTCATGCGACATTAGGAGTACACCTTAAAACATCTTAGATGTGAGTTGTAAGCAGTGTTGGGAAGGTTACTTTTAAAATGTATTCCATTACAGAATACAGATTACATGCCCCAAAATGTATTCTGTAACGTATTCCGTTACGTTACTCAATGAGAGTAACGTATTCTGAATACTTTGGATTACTTAATAT